TTGCTCTATAAAAGATTATCTTCCATGGCAGGCCGCTCCACAACAATTACCTAACGATACTCCGCCAAGGCTCGGGAACGTTAACACAAATATACTCAACATCTAACAAATGAATCATCTAAGTTCCGCAACCATTTTTTACTCAAACAAATATAAAAGAAAGAAGTCTTGTCACTTATGATTCATCAAACATTCGGTTTTTTACACAAATCTCAAATTGGACAGTGCTTCCGACGTGGCTCCGGAGACCTTGCTTCGACAACAATGAAGATAAAAACTGCGAGTTACTAACTTCCAAGTTTTTATATGGTCTATGTCAGTGTCGCGACTGAGACAAAGCGCTGAGATATAAAACAAAAGATGGCAAACTGTTGGCAATGAATCCTCCGGGAACCGGCCTCCAGGTCTGGCCTTAACTCAAATAAATAGAATTAAAACCAACGACTTTTTAGTTCTAATTTTCCAAGCAAACTTTAGGTAGCGTATAAATTTGTCATTTAGCGATACAAACTCTTTACATTAAATAAATTTGCTAGGTTGGATCTCTGCAGATAGCCAAGTTACGTAAAATGTTAAATCTCCGGGAAGAATCACTTTCGGAAGTCTGGCACCAACTTCGTCCATTTTAGGTAGAGACCTAGGTTATAGAGATGACTGAGGTAATGGCAGTTATCCTCTTTTCAGTACATTACGTGAAACAATACGGCATATTGTGTCTCAAATTGCGAATATCACGAGCCAATTACTATAGTAGGGGGATACATTCCTAGCATTTCACATGGAGGTGTAGGGGCCGGCTTCGAAGCGAGCGACTGACTAATTCTAATAAATCACTCGGATTACAATTAATAAAGATCTAGATTACTATCTATCTACTATCGAACATGACTTCATTCATGTTTGAGTCATATTCATACATATTACCAAAATTAAATATTTGATAGAAATGCGCTGTAATCGTGACAGATTACGACAATCATTCCGTAATCTAAAACAAATTAGAATCGGTAGTAAACATGAATCATTCCTCCAACAGCTGTTTAGTAGGTATTGTCAGTACATTGATATGTAATACAACAAAATTATATAACAACGTGTTATCAGGACAACAACTAATTCTGCATCCTACACATGTAACGCCATATCCAAAAAACCTTCCATTACTCGTTCGAAACCGGATTCCTCCTTACACAGTTTCCCAGGAGACTAAATTTCCATCATCGCTCCTTGTTTTCGCTGGCTTCGAAGCCTCGCCTAAATTACATAACCCTCTTGAACGCGGCGCGGGGCGAGGGACGCCCCAACAATACGAGCAGTATCGAGCGACCACCGTCCTGCTCGCACACGAGCCTCTCACTCGCACTTACGAACTAAGACACCGGACATGACAGCTCGGATCCTTTCCACGACGCCATTCATTGCTGCCGCAAAACGCGTCACACAATAAGCCTATGTAGGTGAACCGCCGATGTACCGAGCCCACTGAGCGAGTCTCATGAAACGACATTGATTTCAGCGGCGCGGCCGGCGAACGCCTATTGTGAAGTACGGTACAAAAAAAATCTCACGTATTAAGTGAGCGACATTGTCAAGTTAATAAAGAAAATATGACATGAGCTGGTACTATATTAAATTCAAAATAATCCTAATGTATAATGTAGAATAGGAGTAATAGGCCAATTAAAATGTCAAAGGTGCCCATTACCTAGTAACAAATAACTAGCAAAATATACATATGTATGACTTGCTCTCCTCTCCTCTGTTATAATAGGAAATTTCACATTATGGATAAAAATAATACACACTTTCCTATGATTTGAAAATAACTTCTTCGCCAAAATTATAATGCAAATCTATCCATTAAAATCTTTCAAAAACCAAATGATATAGAAACCTAAACTTGGTTATGGATTCATGTTTTATGGTTCATTCTGCCTCTAAATTCAGGATGTATTTTCTCACATTTAATTTTATAAACTGTGTACAATCTTTAACTATCTAGTTTTTTTAGTATAGGAGACATTCACTCACTGACACTTGACATAATTATCTTAATTTGCAATAAAATGAATATTAAAATTAAGAAGTGACATTCTTAATGATCAGCTAACCTCTTGTCTGGTCTTGGTGCAGTGAGACACAATAGAAAATACATTGTCTCGCTTAAATATGTTCTGGAATACCAAGGGTTAATAGCACAGACACCTATTAAACTTCAAATCATTTGAGATATGGGTTAAAAAAGCTATCTTGGCTATTTGGCAATTTGAGGCTACTGGTGTAAGAAATAAGGAGATAATCATCAATAAAATAGATTACTTTCATAAATTATTCATGTGATCATTGTAACAATGACACTGTTATTAACTATAATTTTTTTTTTTTATCTACAAATTCTAATAAGAAATAATTATACCATTAATTAATTTGCATTAATATCAATGTCACATTTTATTTAAATGTTAAAAAGTAATTTGATGCTAATAAAATTTAATGGAATATAATACTCTAAGTTACTTTTTTAAGAGATACAAGAAGAAAAGTTTAGTTTTCAATAATTTTTAGTCCATGCACTACACATAAATTCTTCATTGAGATTTTGGGTGAATATTGTTTTAACATTGTCAGCTAAGATGAAGTCATGATAAGCAGTGATAAGATGGATCTAGCACAACACCTTGTATATTTCATAAGTCTAACCTTCTGATAGGTTTAAATGTCCAGCAAAATTCTAATAAGACATTTTAATGAAGAATAAAATCATCCGGTAAGCCTAAAGTTTGATTGTCCAAAAGATTGATGTGCAGTAAATACTTTATAGTGATTTCGAATAGAAGTATGATAGGTCATTTTTAATTATTTGCTGTAAAACTAAGACAGTCAGTCAGTAATGATTACAGAATAATACATTGAAACAAGCTTATAATGAACAGTTCCTATAAATTTGCGGACAGAAGCCGTAGAATCGCCGGTTGCAATTATTCAATCAGTTGACTTTCGTATCACAACACAGACGTTCGTATCGCTATCAATAGATCTCAAAATATACCACTCAACGTACTCCACACATATTTTCTGTTTCTCTGTCTGACACCGACCGCCAGACTCGAATTCCGCCGCCACATTCCATAACACGCAACTATCATAGTGATGGGCCGAGTCGTCTTTTTGATAACTCGAGTAACTCGAGTTGACCCGATAACCAACTCGGGCTGCAACTCGAGTTGACTCGACCCGATCAGCCATAAGATACGTCGCGTCCTTCGCCGCGTTGTCCGTTCGAGTTAGTAAACGCTCGACTCGGTGCATCGTTCTGCGGGTTGCTCGTTTGCTTGTCGAGCCCGACGGGCTGTGTGGGGTCGAGTCCATGCTAATGATAGCCAAATAAAATAAGTTTGTCAAAAAATCAGACTTTAATGTTATTGAAAGTTGTAAGATTGGGCCAACAGCTTCACTATATTATTGTATAATGTGTTTTTTTTAGGTGGTTCACTAAGATACCCGTATTTCCACTAAATTTGTATTGACTAGAACACAAATTGCATTGTACTTTAGTATTATTGTCTATTTTCGAAAAAACTCCCACGCCACACTTTTCCTGTTTCCCGGAGCCATTCTAAACTTATTAATCAGACAAACAACACTTAATAAACTAACAATACCGCCACAAAACAATAAATTACGAACTAAGTAGTAATAACAAAAACGTAAACAAAACAAATATCTAATCTTTTGTGTTAAAACTCTGTCATTTGTTCGCCGAAGACGAGAACTATCTCTTTCACTCGCGGCTCGCGGCTCGGACGACGCGACTACGTTTCGTTGTTCGTGCTGACTCGGGCTCGCTCGGTGTCGTTCGGGCCTCGCGAATCGCGGGCTAGGCGGCGAGCGGGCGACGGCGTCGAGCGGCGCGCGCTCTTCGGTTCAACCCGAGTTGCAGAAATATTTACTCGGGCTGACTCGCTCACGGTCTAACTCGAGTTGCCCGAGTTAGATAACTCGAGTTGCCCATTACTAAACTATCACCCACAACACAATTAGCAATAGCAACAATAATTTAATAATTCAAAATGCCATTCGATCTATTTTCGCATCCCACGTTATCTGAAATGAGGATATTATATGCAACTTACCGGCAATTAGTGCTGTTCAATAAACGCCCGAAAATTGTCAATTTGCCACAAATTCACTAGTTCCACGATATTATAAAATTGATTTTTACTTGAATTATTCAATATTTTTATGTGAATAGACGTCGACAGAGTGACTACTTTTGACATTAATTACAAATGTTGCCACACGAAATATCTGTTAGACTAACCTATGTGTGTTATGTTGCCAAAATATATAAAAAAGTTTTATATATTTTCTAATTAATACTTTTTTGAATAATCTTAACTAACTATAAATAATTGTGAGCCAAATATTCAGAACTATATACATAAATTTGAAAAGCTTTCATTTTCTTAGGGGCTACGTAAAAATAATGTAGTTCATACGAGTTCATTTAGAGTTCATTCAACTTGCCACAAACAATAGACGATTCTATAAATAAGTAGAATGTTAGCAGTACAGATAATAGATTGCCAAAATACCAAATAAAGTTAATAATTCTAAATAGGTTTTCACTTTATTTGCTAGTAATACTTGGATATTCTTTATTTATTAGATAATTAGATAGACGAAATATATAGGTATATTATCTTTTTGTGACCATGATAAACTAATAAACTACAGTGGCACAATCCTCTTCACTTGGACCCCACACCGACACTCCAAAACATTCAAAAACATATTTATTACTAGATTGTTGTACTACGGCGTTTGAGGCTCAAAGCAGCTACAGTAGTTTGATTTTTAGGTAATTACCTATTCATAATTCATACCAACGTAGTAACAAAAAAATAAACTTCTTTATTTTTTTTAATTTGATTTTTAATGTCTATGGTTAATCGAAAGTAGTAGAATCGGAAACGGAAAAGAACCACACCAAAGATTTTGTTTGTCATTATCATATCATTCAGTGCGAAAAACAGTGACGTTTTCACGACGCTTTGGAGTCGTTCGTTCTTCCTTCTTTCTCTTTGATTCGTGTCGCCATTTTGTGTGGTTAAGTTCGCATTGCGCAGGCATTTAAAATTAGTAATTTTCATAGTAATCGTAAAAGGTGTGTATCTTCTTGAGGTTGTGCTTTGTTCGTGTACTTATATTAGTTTAAGGTAAGTAATTTTTACCATCAATCCCAGTCGTATTCGTTATTTTACTTCTTTTCTTATTTTCACGGTATTGCAAACTTCCATTACCCATTGTCATGGACGCTGCTGACTCATTTCGTCAAATTATGTATGCGTTTCAGAGTCTAAAATGCCGGGCGCCGGTACTTTCAAAATCTTCGTCGGGAATCTTTCCGATAAAACAACGGACGCCGATCTTAGACCGCTATTCGAAAAGTACGGTACGGTCGTAGAATGCGATATCGTCAGAAATTACGGTTTCGTACACATGGAAAACGAACAAGTTGGCCGCGAAGCCATACAGAATTTAAACGGAGAGATAGTTCATGGCCAAGCCATCAAAATAGAAGCCGCCAAGAGTCGAAAGGCCCCGTCGACGCCGACCACAAAAATATTCGTCGGTAACCTAACGGACAAGACGCGCGCGCCCGAAGTCCGCGAGCTGTTTCAGAAGTTCGGCACGGTTGTCGAGTGCGATATAGTTCGTAACTATGGCTTCGTGCACTTGGACGCGTCGGGTGACGTGAACGAAGCTATCAAAGAACTGAACGGTATGATGGTGGACGGACAGCCCATGAAGGTGCAGCTGTCTACGAGCCGCGTCCGCCAGCGGCCGGGTATGGGCGACCCCGAGCAGTGCTACCGCTGCGGTCGGGGTGGCCACTGGTCCAAGGAGTGCCCCAAGGCGCTGGGCCCTGACCGGAACGGTTTCCGCGATCGAGCATTCGGCCGCGACCCCTACCCTCCGCCGCCGCCGCCGCCGTTCCTTCGCGATCGCATGATGGGAGGATTTGGGGTAACGCGCTATCACTTACTATCCGAACCGTCGGTTTTCATCTTACCGCTTTCGATGCATCACGTAGGCCGAGCGCGTGGAGTCTGTCTTCGCACGCGGTTCCTAACTCGGGCCGAAGTAACATGATCGGGCTCAGTGATGCTACAATCGCTGCTCACCACCAGACCCTCCAGATATAACATACCTCAACTACAAATTGATTCAGAGTTCGTTTTTGATTGATTTGACTCTCTCATTGAATTATTACTAATAAGTTTTATTGTGACAGGATCCCTATGACGGATACTATGATCGCGCGAGGTTCGAGTCACCTCGTGACCTCTTCGAGCGCCGTTACCCAGTGGGCGCTTCGCGCGGGTTAGAGATGGGAGCATCTCGCGGCGGTCGCGGGGACTTCGTGTCGCCGCCGCTTCGCCGCGAGCCTATGCCACCAATGCCGAGTCTGCCACCGATGCGCAGTGGGATGGGATCTATGAGGTCGTCGTATGATGCTATGTACAGCAGGAGAAGTCCCCCTCAAGGGCCTCAAATGTCCCGGGGGTGAGAATTAACTTGTGTCAATGTTCACTAACTTTGGCTTCATACCATTGTTATTATATTCATTACAAAGCAATTATGACCCATTTTTTGCCTTCCCCTCCAATCATGCTAGTTGAGCCACAATATTGACACAAATATCATATTACTTTATCAAATCCGTAACTTTTATTATACTTAAAATCTTTCCTTCAGTTTTATCTCAGTAGTATCCTTGCTAGTTACATTTCACAATTGTTTCATGCCCTTAGTCCATACTTGTTATATGGTTTCCCAACTCCATTCATTTCAACAACACACAAAAAGAATATACCTACTTCAATAAAACAGTAGTTAATTTCCTATTGTGAAAAGAGTTTGAATTGATTTGTAATAAAACTTTATTTATTTACAGAATGTATGAAGACTTCAGTCGTGACACATTTGATGATAGAAGGTATGTTGTTATAACATATTTTCTTACAAGACTTCAAACAAAAATAATTTCATTGATAGCAATGTAGAAATTATATTTGAATTGTAAAAATACTAAATCAATTTATTATTGTTTCAGACCGGGAATGCGAGGACCTTCTCCCTCCAGAAGATACGCGCCTTACTAGGTTAATATTAATAATTTAGATATAGTTGTCCAACGCTCAGTTGCAATCAATTTGTAATTTTTTGACTGGCTGACCGATAGTACTGTTTTATAGAGGATACAAAATGTATTAGTTAAGGTGGGAGTGACTGATTTGCTATTTCCACAAGTATGATTGTAATGGAAGATTAATGAATGAATGTACTGTGCCTGAATGTAAATAAGTGAAATAAATATCATTTTAAGTACACTAAGTGTTTTCATTGTCCTTTAAGCTAAGCTAAGCTGGCAGATACAGGTCTCCAGCGTTTGCCAACGTGTTACTAACACCTTGCGTCATCTAAATCGATTGAGAAATTTCCTTCCATCCAGGACCAAGGCAATGCTTATGCAGTCCCAAATCTTCCCCGTAATCGACTATGGTGACGTGTACTATTGCGATCTCAATTCGGACTTGCTCAACAAGCTTGATCGTCTTATGAACAACTGCATAAGATTTGTCTTCAACTTGCGTAAGTACGATCGTGTTTCTGGGCACAGGTCTAAATTGAAGTGGATGTCCATCCGACAGAGAAGAGACCTTCGCGTGTGACCCTTTACTCTATCCTTAACTCTCCTACACCTCCTTTGTACCTAACACCTTATTTTCAGTACCGATACTTGGGACATTCTAGAAATCTTCGTTCTTCTCACAATCTTCTCTACTGTCCTTCCCACAGCTCTGACACTTCACTCATCATTTCACATCCAATCAATCCTCTTATAGAATGGTCTGCCCTTGGAAATCAGGAAGTCAGCGAACAAGTAGTCATTCAAAGCTGGAGTTCGTAGTGTATCTTGTAGGGAATGTTGGCAAAATCTTCATTATAAATTATCCTACTTTATGTGTGATATACACACTTAACTAAACTTATATGTGTAGTAACGTATATATATATATATATCGTATTACTTATGTATGTTTTATGTACTATAAGTGCATTCATGCATATTATTATGTATGTACTTACATTATTATATTCATTGTATTATGCATTACTTTTGTCTTAATTGTTCTTGTACTTTTTTGCACCGACTATATTCTACCTACATCATCACCCAAAGGTTTGCTAGCAAGAATGCTTGTTGGCATTAAGCCCTCCTTTGTACTTTGTGCATAAAGGTAATTAAATAAAAAAATATTAGGTATCTGTTTATACGAAGATACATTATTCAATATTCAGAACGTTTTTGTCAGAATTACAGGTGAACCTTTTGGCTACGGCACAGGACAGTTCCACTGATATAATTAGTACAACTAGTTAACATAACTGTCCCGCAGCAGCAGCCTACCATACAAGCGCCCAACGCGCTTGTATTATATTGCGTTTTGTAAATTTGTTTACCATGAACGGGTGTATCAATTTTATTGTTGTGACGTTCAATCATTTTCATACACCACATAAACATGGTTGCGATTTGCTACATATTTTGTATTTACCAAACAATATATTTGTTGCCATTCCACAATACACAGACATTTTGGTCATTTTAAAATTGGTAGAGTGCAATTGCATTTTACCCCTGACTACACATTTTGCGTTTACTATTTGAAATAAATCACATCTCTCTTAATGATCTAAGTAGATAGGTTGTAGGTAGGTGGCATTGTCGGCAAATTAATTTGAAAATACTACGAAGACTAAGCGACGTTTTTCTAAGGCTGCGATGCACTTACTAGAGTTACTTACATTGTTTTACGTCGATGATTGTACTTATACATAAGCTGTGGGCCTAACTTATTATAATAAATAAATAGATGAATGATAGTGGTAATTACATGGAATATAAGCTATCTACTAGCTTGCATTTGGGGTTACCATTTAAAATCAATTATCTCCTGCAGACTTATAAAAGAATTAAACATTTTGCTTGTTAGTGTCTGACCTGGGTATCGAACCCAAAATTGGAAACGACTAAGCTAGATTTTCGAACAATCCTGAAACTGGCATAAACTTATTTAGGTACCTATCTACTATAAAAAAGGGTAACATCGAAATGCCTTTACTTGTGTATTAGGACTACCTTCCTCTTGAATCACTACTAGAGAGGACCGTATCGTAGATTCAATCCTGCAATTGAATGCGGTAGCCAGCTGCCAAGCCACCGCGCACCCAAAGTATTAAATTTGAAAATTACCTTATTCTCCGCATTAGCCATGAAGGTTTTGTCGTAGTGGGGTTGACCGCCATGGTCGGCTATGTTCGACATTGGCGAAATTGTCAATTTTGCGTTAGTCGCCTATAGCCAACTTTACACATAATGTTCAAGTATGAGAGCTATGTAGCTTCTGAATAAATCGTCCTGCTCGACCGAAAGAGTGATACCATACGGCATCACAGAATATAGACTCCTTTGGAGTTTTAATAGTAGGTAGTAAGTGTGAGAGAGTTATGGGTCGGCTCGACCGGCCTTATAGGAGACAGACGTTAAAACAGCGTTCTTTTTCGACGTGTGGGTGCGGTCACCGGAGGCCCAATCCTTTGCCTAAATATTCAAAACCCTTATCCTCAAAAGGCCGGCAACGCACTAGTAATTCATTTGGCGTTGCGGGTGCCCATGGGTGACGCTGATTGCTTACCATCAGATAATCCGTCTGGTCAGGGTATTGACTGCGTGGCACTTACTACTTCTTTCTGTGGCCAGCGTTTGTGCTGATAGCCAAACTACGTATTTCTAGCATTATGGAACCACTGTTTTTTTTTATTAATTTCCTCTACAAGGCTGGCTTAGTTGGGTATGGGTTGTAAATGAAAAATAAAGAGTCTATGTCCATTAATGTTTTATTTGTAACTTAACATGTATTTAGACCTATGCAATGTTACCTACTGCTATATTTACACAACACTGTACAGGGTGCGATGCGCACTAGTAAATGCTAGGCGGCACTTGGTCTACACTATACACACCTCCATCCCCATAACGTTACTTTACTGCCCTCTGTCGGTACTCAGGAAAAGTTTATTACATTGTGGAATGAGTTTAATTTTTTACGTATCAATTTGACATCACACTGTTTAAGAAAAATCATTTTCCTATTCTGCAAACTACGTTACGTGTGAGAAGGCACAAAATATTTTCGTAAGGCACATCAGACCAAGTGGCTCGCTATACAAAACAAATAGTTAATACTAATCGTTGCGAAGGCATCTCCATAAGACACTGCGCCATTACATCCCATATATTTAATACTCACACACTACTATTAGTCTTTTATCTTCGTTTAAGTACAACCCACATTAGCTACCTGTACCGTCACACATGTGAATATAAAAATGCATTTTCATGGCTACTTGAATAATTTTGAAATATTGTTTTGTACGATAATAAGGGCGTCTTATTGTCCAAATATCACAATACATGTCGCTCGGCCACTCCACAATAGCGGCCTATTACCAATATACAACAGAAACAGAGTCATGTTTCACATCTACAGTATAGCTGCCTCACTACTGCTCCACGACTATTTACACGTATCGAACGACTCGAAACAAGAACAAAGCTGCCTCAACGAACACTCTCATTGCTTATACAAACGGAAGACAACAAATTTTCATTATAAAACACTTCGTCACTACATCTAAGTAACAGTAATAAAATAAAACATTACGTTTAGAACAAAACTAAAACCAAAATCATACAGTTGCGGAGAGATTCCATCGGGAACATTCATAAGTTAGTCATAATTATAATTCCAGTATCATTTCACTGGGCGCGCGGACTGCTGCTATCCGAATAAACTTAACAATACTGAGATTTAAAACGAAACGGTGGTCAAACTGAATTTTCACATCGGGCCTTTACAACTATTGAAGTTCACATGATCGTAAATAAATAGAATATTATCGAGGAACTAAAGTCGGATCCTACACTAGCGGAGTCCGTCCACGGTCACACGAGCTTGACGGTGGTCTCGGTGTTGTACTTGGCGAGCGTCTTCTTGACGCGCAGCGCCGTGAGCCGCACGGGCGGGTTGGCGTGCCAGCACTCGTGCATGAGCGTGACCAGCGTGCTCAGCGGCTCCGCGGCCAGCCAGCGCGCCGGCACCGCGGGCCGCGCGCCCGCCGCCACCACGACGCGGTGCATGTCCTCGAAGCTGGGGTCGGGCGGCACCAGCTCGTGGTACGGCAGCGCGTACGCCTCCACCTGCTGCGCCTTGTCGCCCGACCAACAGCGCCGGCACATCTCCCACAGCACCAGCCCCAGCGAGTACATGTCGGCCATCTTGAACGCCTCGAAGTTGCTCACGTCCAGCTTCTCGTCCAGCACCTCGGGCGCCATGTAGCGCCGCGTGCCCACCCGCGTGTTGGGCGCGATGTCCACCTCGTTGCGCTCCGCCACGTACCGCACGGCCAGCCCGAAGTCTGCGATGGCGCACTGCCCGTTCCGCTTCACCAGGATGTTTTTACTCTTGATGTCTCTGTGCGCGATGGCGGGCTTGCCCTTGGTGCCGAATATGTCCATGTGTAGATGCGCCAGCCCACTCACTATGGAGTACGCCATTGTCATGAGGCTGTGCGTGTCGAGCACCACGGTCTGCAAGTAGTCGTGCAGCGAGCCGTTCTCGTGGTAGTCGGTAATGAGGAGCATCTGTGTCCAGGAGCCCGTGCCCTTGATGTCGGCCGCGATGAAGCCGAGGATGTTCTCGTGTCGCATCAGCACCGTCTGGTATATTTCAGTCTCGCGGAACCAAGAAGCTTCCTCCGTGGTGAAGAAGACTTTGACGGCGACTCGCTCGCCGCGCCAGCGCGCGAGCCAGACCTCGCCGTAGCGGCCCTTGCCAATGGAGTCGACCATCTGGATCTGCTTGGCCACGGTGCGCTGCACGAGCAGCGGCAGGCCGGAGCCGGAGCCCGAGGAGACGTCGGCCGCGAGCGGCGCGGGCGGGGAGGGCGGCCGCTTGCCCGCGCGCCGCCGCCGCCGGCACAGCAGCAGCACGGCGCCCGCCGCCGCCAGCAGCGCCACGCACAGCGCGGCCGCCACCAGCACGGCGGGCGAGCCGGCCGCGCCGCCGCGCAGCCCGGGCGTCTCCGTCACCTCGGGGGACAGCTCCGGCAGCTGCGGGGACAGCCGCCGGTTGCACAGGTCGCTCTCGAAGCAACATTCTATCACCTTCGGGTGTTGGTGTGGAACCTGGGAGCTTTTGCACTGGAAATTAAAAATTCTGTCGTTAAATATTTGTCATCATACCTTTTTGTAATGATGTTACACAAATTTTTTAGGGAAA